GTATCAGGGTGATACCTAGCTTTTTTTGAGTTTGAAAGGGCTCCCCGCTTTTCTATTTCATGGAATAATTTGAGGAGGTTTGATGTTTGTTCTTCTTTGAAAGTCTGGTGGAACTTGGCTGAGAATCCCTCTGGTCCTGGGCTTTTCTTTCTTGGTAGGGTTTTGGTGCCATTTTCAATTTCATTGCTTGAAATTGATCTGCTTAAATTTTCTGTGTCTCCCTGATTCAATTTGGGTAGGTCATATATCTTTAGAACTTTGTTCATGTCTTCAAAATTATATATTTTATTAGGGTATAAATTTTCAAAGCAGGTTCTGATCATCATCTGTATTTCAGTAGTGTCCATTTTGATTATTTCCTTCTTCATCACAAATTTTTGTAATTTGAGTTTTCTCTCTCTTTGTTAGCTTGTCTAAGGGTTTATTAATTTTATTGATTTTTTTCAAAGAACCAACTTTTTGTTTTGTGAGTTGTTTTGGATTGTTTCTTTTATTTCAATTTCATTGATTTCAGCTTTGATTTTAATTATTTCCTGACTTCTACTGCTTTGGGTGTTGATTTGTTCTTTTTCTGGGGCTTTGAGATATAATGTTAGGTTATTTATTTGTTTACTTTCTATTATGAATGAGCTCAATACATTGAACTTTTCTCTTATCACTTCCTTCATAGTGTCCTAGATATTTTGATTTGTTGTATTGATATTGTCATTTACATCTAAGAATTTTTAATTTCATCCCTGATTTCTTCTGCTATCTATTTATCATTCAGTAGCATAGTATTTAATCTCCAGGTATTAGAGTAGCTTCCATTTTTTTATTTTATCGCTGATTTCTCATTTCAGTTCATTATGATGTGATAAAATGCAAGGTATTATTTCTATTTTTTTGTATTTGCTAAGAGTTGCTTTGTGCCTATGATATGGTCTGTTTTAGAGAAGGACCATTTGCTCCTGAGAAGAAATTGTATTCAGTCTTGGATGAACAAAATATTCTCTGTGTCTGTTAAGTCTAAAATATTAATTGTATTTTTAGTTCTGTAGCTTTTTTATTTAGTTTTTGTTTGGAGGGTCTATCCTGTGTTAAAGTCACCCAGTTTTATTGTGTGGTGGTCTATTTGCTTATTGAAATTGACAAGGGTTTATTTGAAAGTATGTAGATGCTCCGATGTTTGGGGCATAAAAATTTCTGATTGTTATGTATTAATGATGTATGATTCTCTTAAGTAGTATGAAATGTCCTTCTTTGTCCCTTCTGATAACTTTGGCTTGAAGTCCACTTTATCTGATATGAGGATAGAAACCCCTGCTTGTTTATGAGATCCATCAGAATGATATGTTTTTTCCTATCCTTTTACCTTCAGTCTGTGGATGTCTTTACCTATGAGGTGAGTCTCTTGGAGACAGGATATTGTGGAGTCTTGTTTTTTAATCCATTCTGCCAGTCTATATCTTTTGATTGATGAGTTTAGGCCATGTACATTCAATGTTATTATTGAGATATGATTTTTTTTTTTTTAGTTTTCGATGGACACAATACCTTAATTTTTTAAAATTTATTTTTATATGGTGCTGAAGATCAAACCCAGTGCCCCACACATACTAGGCAAGTGCTCTACCACTGAGTTAGAACCCCAGCGTCTGAGATATGATTTTTATTCCCTGTCATTTTGATTTATTTTTTGGTTTTTAACTTGAATTAGTTTCTCCATCGATTCACTGTTTTTTTAGTGTACTTCCTCCCTTTGCTGGTTTTCACTTTTTTTTTTTTTTTTTCATTTCATCCTCATGGAATATTTTGTTGAGAATGTTCCGTAGTGCTGGCTTTCTGGTTGTAAATTCTTTTAACTTTTGTTTATCATGGAAGGTTTTCATTTCATCAGCAATTCTGAAGCTTAATTTTGCTGGGTATAGTATTCTTGATTGGCATCCATTTTCTTTCAGAGCTTGGTATATATTATTCCAAGACCTCCAAATATATGGGTCTGGGTTGAGAGATCAGCTGAGATCTGGATTGGTTTCTCTCTAAATTTTACATATTGTTTTTCTCTGGCAGCCTTTAAAATTCTATCCTTATTGTATATATTAAGCATTTTCATAATAATGTGCCTTGGTGTGGGTCTGTTATAATTTTGTATATTTGGGGTCCTGTTTGCCTCCTATATTTAACTTTTTTATTTCATTCTTTTGGTTTGGGAAATTTTTTTATATTATTTCGTTGAAAAGAATGTGCATTTATTTCATATTTATCTCCAAGCCTTCATCTATCCCAATAAATCTTAAATTTGGTCTTTTCAGACTATCCTGTACTTATTGAAAGTTCTGTTCATGGTCTCTTAACATCTTTTCTCCATGGTCAACTTTGTTTTCAAGATAATATATTTGTTATCATTGGCTGAAACTTTATCTTCCAAGTGATTTAGTCTTTGGTAATGCTTTCAATTGAATTTTTAATTTGGCTTATTGATTTCTTCATTTTGAGGATTTCTGTTTGTTTTTTATCAGAATCTCTCTTTATTGAAGTGATTCTTCACTTCCTGTATTTTCTCTGATTTTACTCCTTGTACTGTCCTTTACTTTGCAGATCAGTTTAACTATGTACATCCTAAACTCCTTCTCTGGCATTTTTTCCCCTGTGGTGTCAATGGATTTGGTTATTGGAATATATTGGCTTCTTTGGGGCAGTTGTTCCCTGGCTTTTTCATATTGTTTCTGTGTCTACCCATCTAACAGTATGGGTCTTAGGCAGTCAGCTCTGTGGACTTCTAGTGTCCCTGAAAATTTCCAGTACCTTACTGTAGGGGGAGACAGATAATAACAACAATATGCAGTATTAAACCAAATAGTTTCTGTTCTATAATTATAATAGTTATTTATGTCTATAATGAAAATTATCACTACAAACAGAAATGATATGATCAGTTATTACCTACAATAAAAATAGCAAGTTTGCAAAAGGTTTATAATTTCAAGTGATAAACAGGGTGACAATAGACGTGAGGGATATAGGATGTGATGATTATGAGGGAGGAGCAGAGAAGAGAGAAGTGAAAGATTAAAGGAAGAGTGAAAATGATAACAATAGAGATCGGCTTTTAGTGGAAAAGAGAGAAAGAGAATCAAGGGAAACGGATAGCTAAGGGAAAAATGTATACTTAAAGTAAAAATGTTTAAAAAATAAAAATAAAAGAATACAAAACAAAACTAAAATATGCTAAGCAAACATCCTACTCCTCAAAAAACTGATCCACAAAAAATAACTAGCTTCAAAAATGCTAGAAATGAGAAAAAAACAGATTGGAATATGTGTAAATGTCCATGTACCATTAATGTCACAATTAAACAGGGGAAAAAAAAAAGAAAAAAAAATCTCAATGAAAAGTTTAAAAACTCTTCCTGTTGGAGTTCAAAAGATTCTTAGCTGCTCTTCTCAGCAGTTTTGGGTGGGGTCGTCTGGAGTGTTATGCTGCACCCTCTGGATTCCTGGAGAGAGGTAATCCCGAGCAGAACTTTTGGAGGTAGGGTTTAGGCTTAGCTGGGCTCCAGGCTCTTTGCTGAATGCCAGTTCGTCTGGAGATTTTAAATAATCATACCTCCAGAGCCCTGTAATTGTCTGTACATGCTGGAAGACTATACCCCAGGGATCTCCCCTGGGTTCTACTCGTGTGGTAGAGAAGCCAATTCTTAGTCCCCTGTGTCACCTGCAGACCCCATGTTTCCTCGTCTTGGGTCAGTCTCCAAATTCACTCTCTCCTGCCCCTGCTCTTCAAATTCCCAGCCAGGTATGTCTCTCCCAGCCTGTCCATGCAGTCAGATTGAAGCGGGGGAGGTAGAGCCAAGTGGGTTTCTGCAACTAGTTGTCCCCTATGTAAAATTCTCTCCATGTTTGATTTTCTCTTTGTCACGTAAGTACACTCTATCATGCATTTTGTGTTTACTGGGCCTGTATTTTGGGCCAAACTAGGGTTTGCCAGGAATCAGATCCCTCAGCTCTTGGCTCCATGCCGTGACTCAAAATGGTTTCCATGACTCAAAATGGTTTCTTCTCTTATCCTCCACATGCAGCCAGGTGAGATGATAGCTGCATAAGGATATTGTGTAGCATGCCTTTCATTTTAATCAGGCATTGTCCTTGGTCTCTAAATACTCTGTACCCAGACATGCCTTAGGCCTCCTAAAAATGTGGTTTCCTTTAATTTCCTTATCCCTCCACATCTCTTGCAGAGGGACCATTCTAGCTGGTGCTTCTAGCCCAGCCTAGGCAATGGCTATGCCCCTGGGGATTTCTTCCTTATTTTATTATATCCAATCTCCTGAGTCCCTGATCTTTGAATGTCCAATATTAAATTCCATTAAAGTATACCCCCCGCCTTTTGTGTTTACTCACCTTGCTGAGAAGCTGCCTGTCTGTTTTCTTGGTTCACTCCACAGAGCAGCCAGGAAACAACCTCCTCTATTCTGCCATCTTGAAAAAAATCTGGATAATTATTTTATGAATAAAATCATTGCGCTTCATTGCAACAGGAATTTTTTTTTCTTTTGAGCCTAATGGGAACAGACTGCACCAGGTCATAGAGTGCTTCATTATTAATGTAGTTAATTTGTCACAGGAGTCAAGGAATATTGAGCTGATTAGTGGAAACTAACAACTACCATTCAACCCATGTTCTGCTGAAAATAGGAAATAGTATAAACTATACTAATAGTACTAGGAAATAGTATAAACATGTATACATACACATTTTATTTTTAAAACCAAGAAATTATTTGATATTCCTACTATCATCTTGGTGTTTTTTGTTCCTGTATCTGAAAAACAAATTTATTGCTGGATTTCTGGGTTCTGATGATTTTAACTCACGTTGTTAGTACCTAATTATATATTTTTTTAGTTCTGTGTGAATCTTGGAAAAAAATGAAGCAAAATTATTTTAAAGAGTCTAATAATAAGAGAAAATTTGATTACTTTTATGCTAATTGAATTTCTTTCTCTTCTTAATATAGGAGATTTTTCAAGAGCTTGGGATGTTCTTCTTGACCATATACAGTCAGCAGCACTCAGCAAAAACAATGAAGTGTCTCTGGCTGCTCTGAAAAGCTTCCAGGAAATTTTACAGATTGTGTCCCCTGTCAGAGACTCAGATAAGCCTGAGACTTCACCTGTAGTTAATGTACCTGTGCCTGTCCTTATTGGGCCTATCTCAGGCCCTGGTTTAAGCCGGCCATTCATAAGAACAGATTCTATTGGAGAAAGACTTGGAAGATATAGTAACTCTGAGCCACCCATAGTTACTGATGAGCTTGAAGACTTGAATCTCTGGTGGGCTGCGTGGAATACTTGGTATAGAATTGGATCTGAAAGCACTAAGCCTCCTATTACTTTTGATAAACTAACTTTTATTCCCAGCCAACCCTTTCTTACAGCTTTAATTCAGATATTTCCAGCACTTTACCAACACATAAAAACTGGTTTTAACATGGATGACTTGCAAAAGTTGGGAGTCATATTACACAGTGCTGTTTCAGTTCCAATAAGTTCAGATGCATCTCCTTTTATTCTTCCATCTTATACTGAAGCAGTTCTGACAAGTTTACAGGAAGCTGTACTTACAGCTTTAGATGTTCTCCAAAAGGTAATATGATTTTATTGGCTAAGCAGTAATTAATATGGTTTTCTGAAATTTTTTTAACTTTGCTGTATATTTTCGAGGATAAATTCTAGACCATCAAATTGTTCTGTAAGTGTACTTGAGGATAAATTCAGGATTGTCAAGATCTAGTTACTTAAAAGACTCACAGCTTTCTGGTATTTTCAAGAAGGTAATTAAGGCCTGCTTTGAGTCTTTTAAGAAGCTGCCTGCATGCTCTTATTCCAGTTCACCAGCATTTTTGATATGTTAATACAGTTTTTCACAAAAGAATATGGTATTATTATTCAAAAATTAATAAGAATTGCGATTATATTTTGGTATTGTTTTCATTTGTACTTAAATTTAGTTCCTAATTTATTAGAAACCCACATTAATAAAGGATAAGTTTATAAAAGTCTTTTTCTCACAGAAATTTTAAGAAGTTATGTTTTTAGCTTTGGGTTTTGTTATTGCAAAAATAGCTAATCATTAAAACAAGCAGACCTAAAAATCATTGAAAAAGCTAGGCGTAATGGTACATGCCTGTAATCCCAACGGCTTGGAATGCTGAGGCAGCAGGATCATAAGTTCAAATCCAGCCTCACCAACTTAGAGAGGCCCTGAGTAACTCAGTGAGACCCTGTCTCTAAATAAAATACAAAAAAAAAAGGGCCAAGGATATGGCTAAGTGGTTAAGTGTCCCTGGATTCACTCCCCAGTAAAATAAAAAAAAAAAAAATCATTGAGCAAATCCAAATTATGAAGTAAAACTAGATAAAAATAAAAGTGTTTTTTAGATTATCAAGGAAATTGATAGCACAATTCAGAATCATTATAATGTTAAACAAAATAAAGGGTCAACTCAAGGTTGGGAATATAGCTCAAATATACACAGTCAACTGAAAAGCCTGCCATTCCAAGACACTCTAACAAAAGCAAAATACAACTAGATTCTAGGTAGGCATGCCTAAAACCCCAGCACCTCCAGAGACTGAGGCAGGAGAATCGCAAGTTTGAGTCTAGCCTGGGCAATTTAATGAGACCCTGTCTCAAAATTAAAAAGGCTGGAGATATACAGGTCAATAAACACTCTGGGTTTAATCCACACTACAAAAACAAAAAACAAAACTAGATTCTGATCACATAGAGATTTTCAGTTGTTAAATAATGAAAATCATGTTTTCTAATTAACCAAATTTTTTTGTTTGTGTTTTGTGTGTGTGTTTCTCGCACATTCTGGGGATTTAACCTAGGGCAATTTGGCACTGATCTACATCCATGCTCCCTTATTTGGGGGTTGGGGAGGCAGTATGGAAATAAGGAGCACTTAGCCATTGAGTCTCATCTCCAGCCCTTTTTTATATTTTATTTAGAGACAGTGTCTTGCTAAGTTGCTAAGACTGATTTGAACTTGCAATGCTCCTGTCTCAGCCTCTCAAACCGCTGGGATTATAGGCATGTGCCACCATGCCCACCTAATTGATTGTTTTATCCAATTAGAGTGATGAAAACTTTCGTAGTAATAATGAAAATACTTCTAATAACCATGATATCACTTAATTGTCTCTGAAGGCAATATAGCTAAGTAGTAACTTGTTCTCTATTTAACCCTTAGTTGCATTATACAGGGAAACAAATGTGGAGAAAATTAAAATTTAAGAGAATCTGGCATTTTAGAAAATTGTGGGGAATACTTAATATTTCTGCCCTGCCTCCCATCTCTCCAGAATGGGAATTACTTTGTGTGTGTGTGTGTGTGTGTGTGTGTGTGTGTGTGTGGTGGTGGTGGTGCTGGGGATTGAAACCATGGGCTTATGCATGCTAGGCAAGCACTCTACCAACTGAGCTAGATCTGGATGGGGAAGCAACCTGCAGCTGAGGTTGGCGGCACCTTTTTCATTTAGATGTGAGGGAGGCCAGGAAAGGGTTAGCTTAATCATTTTCTATACACCAAGCTGTGCCAGCAGTCCATGGGCCCCTGATTGTTTCTCTGTAGACTCTTCAGACCAAGATACTATCGGGACAGTTAGTTGGTATGTGTCCAAATCACTGCTCACCACTGATGTTCTAGAGATGGTGAGCTAATAAACTGTTAGCTCTTACTATGTTTATCACAGTCCCAATTCCCCATCACCACCATAGGTGGTGTTAGAAAACCTTAATTCCCACCCCACCCCCACTTTTGTATGGACTACAAATAAAACTTGGGGCAATTTGCAGTTTGGAGGAAAAAAATATTAATTTTCCACAATTTGAAGTGAAAATAATTTTTTGTTTTCATTGGGGAAAAAAAATGTAGTCTATCAATAATTACTCCCCCCACTGGACATATAAATAAATTGATTATAAAGGGAACCCTCAGTTGATCCTTTTTATTCCCTAAAGGGGAATAAAAAAGTTTTTCTAACAAAATAAAATTATAGGCCTTTCAGAAATACTTATAATCTAGATCTCTCATTGACATGTTTGATTCAGGTTTTAAAATATATGTAGAAGATAAAAACAACACCTTAACTACCTTTCAAGGAAAAAAAGTATATTTCAATTTTTAAACTCTGTTTTATCAATAAGAGAACAAGTGGAATCATTCATCCAAGTATTAGGAGTTTATTCTGAGCTTTTGATACCTTGAAAACAAAATATATCTTTAAGTCTGAAATTTAGGGAGCTTTATATTTCATTTATATCAGTTCATATCCTTTTTATATGATTATTAATTTATACTCTAGCCATTGTTTTATTCTTTGCATAATTACCTGATGTTGCACAAACCTTGAGTGTGAAATTTATTTTAGTATCTTCTAACAGAAAAATTAACAATTTATTTCAGTAAGTGATTTTATACTTTCTACAAGTGTTAGAAAATTTTTGCACAAGCAAAATTTACTTTGGGATTTTATCTTTGAACTATTTAGCAAAACATTTCCTTGATTACAACCAATTTTCTGTCCTAAAGGAAAAACTCTCTTCAACATTGTTAGTTACCCTTATATTATTTAGTGCTTCATAATCTTAGTCTTGTTTCTCATAGGACTAGTTACTGACCAGCCTGACTTGGTTATGTGTGCTAATTGACTTTTTTCCTAAATTATTTTTGCATACATGGGGAACTGATAATTTGATTGTCTGCTTTGTGTATGTAATGTACTATAAGTTCTGATGTCAGGAGACTACATCTGACTTATGTATTGCTAAGCTTCTTTAGGTCAGGTAGCTGGGTACAACGTATGACTGCTGGACTTGTACTTCACAGACACTATCACATTGTGTGTGAATGTGTCTTTGGAGTTATGTAATGAAGCCCTATCTTCTACAGAATATATGGCAAGTTTCTTAATCTTTTTATATTAAGCTTCCTCATGTGTAAGATAAAAATAAATCTACAACTTTTTGCCTTTTAAGTAGAATTTGTAAGGCATTTTTTTATTTATATATGACAGCGGATTGTATTGCAATTCTTATTACACATATAAGGCACAATTTTTCATATCTCTGGTCGTATACAAAGTATATTCACACCAATTTGTGTCTTCATACATGTACTTTGGATAATAATGGTCATTACATTCCACCATCATTTATAACCTCATGCCATCTCCCTTCCCCTCCAACCTCTGCTGTATTTAGAGTTCATCTATTCCTCCCATGCTCCAGTACCTGACAGAAGGTAAACACTGAGTAAATGTTAGCCCTTATTATTTTTATCATCATGTTCTCTGGCAAAGACATTAGTACAAGGCTGTGACTAGATGATGTGTTGGTACATGAGTTATTAAGCAAAACCTTAAACTATTTCTTCTTGTTTTTATGTATATGGCTTTCAAGGACTAATAAAGAAATATTGCCCAGATTATCAATTTTCATCTTTTTACTAAAATTTGTTTTTAGGTTCATCCTGTATATTTTTCTGATAAACTTCAGAATACTGAAGAAAAGCCAATAAAAATTTTTCTTGGATGAAATTTGTTCCCCAAAAGGGAAGGGGGCTTTCATATTATGCATTTCATAGTCCTAGAATTGCTTAATAAGTCAGCAGTACCACTGTTAGTATGTTTTCAAAAAAAGACCATTGGAAATCAAATGCATAATCAAAAATACTATCATGTAAGATACTTCTAAAGAAATTGTGATACTTAGCTTTCTGGAGCATCCACATGATTAGAGCATCCAACACTTAGAGTGGTAACAGTATCCACTATAATTACCACTTGTTTACTTCCAAGAGTTGAGATCCAGCAAAAGGTTAATAAAGAAGAAAGTAGAGCTATTAGAAGCAGTCAGAAAAGATAATTTTCTTTAGAATGTATAAATTTTATTCAAGTTCTCTATTCACTGCTTTTGAGAAAAATAACCAAATGTTGAGAGTTGTTATTAGATGTCTTTATTGTATTTTACTACACTGTAATTGTAGGATGATCTAACTTATGTATATATGGACAGCCCTTGCTTATCTGCTTTTTATCTCAGTGCAGTTTTATCTAAATTTTAGTCATAGATAAATGACTAGGGGGCAGGGATGAAATAATCTGATAAGTTTTAAAAGCCATAGATGGGGGGGGCATGGGACAGTGGAGAAACTTTGGACTGGGCAAAGATGAGGGAGGGGAGGAGAGAGGGAATGGGGGTAGGAAAGATGGTGGGATGAGACAGACATCACTACCCTAGGTACGTGTATGATTGCACAAATGTTGTGCCCCTACTTCTTGTACAACCAGAGAAGTGAAAAATTGTGCTCTGTTTGTGTACAGTGAATCAAAGAGCATTCTGCTGTCATGTATAACTGATTAGAACAAATTAAAAAAAATTTAAAAAGCCACAGATTGCATAAAAAAAATTTTAAAGTTTTTTCTTAAAACTTTTAAATGCTTTTCTAGCATGTGCAAGGCCCTGAGTTATATACCCAGTAAAATAAAAAAAATAAAGCTAAATAAATAAAACTTTAAATTTTAGTTTAGTGTTTTGAGGGTACACTCAAAATACCCTTTTAAGTGTACAGTGATTGTGTTTTTTATTTTGTACAGCACAATGGTATTTTAAATACTCCATAAATATTGCCAATAAATATTTAAATATTTTTAGCATATTTGAAGTCATAATCTACAGTATCAGGATATACATTTTATTCTTTCTGTTTAATTATTTGAAGTAATATATCTAGAGAAACTAGCTAGTATTCATTAAAATGATATGTTATTAATTTGTATTAAAATATTTTCTTGTTTTTAAATCAGATTTATTCAGAGACATTAGATATTAAATATTTAGCCTGTTAAATTTAATATGTAATTTTTTAAAATAAATTTTTATAGATGACTTATTTTCCCAACTGTAATGCACATGATTATTTGTTAAGGTTGGTAGACCAGGCATGATGCAGAAATGATCTATCATTTCAGTGAACTGATATCACTTAAGTAGAAACCAGTATCATCTTGGTCAGTGAAGCACTTTTATTCTGATAGCTATATTACTGAACAAATCAGTTGTAGAACCTCAGGACTGCCTGGGACTTTAAGTACTTGCCCCTTTTCTTCTGTGCTAAGAAATAAATTGTGCTTTATTAACAAGCATTTTTAAAAGCTAATTAACACTTTGAGGCTATATTTTATTCAATAATAGTTTTAAATAGTTTAAATATCTTTCAAAGTATATAAAAGATGGTATAATACTGACATAAAATAGTACAGTCTTTAAGATTCTTGGGTTAACCAAATATGTATATAGTAAAGAACTTCTGCATTCTAATGTTCATATTTTGCTTTTTAGGCCATCTGTGTAGGACCAGAAAACATGCAGATAATGTATCCAGCTATATTTGACCAGTTACTGGCATTTGTAGAATTTTCCTGTAAACCTCCACAGTATGGACAGCTGGAAACAAAGCACATTGCAAATGCAAAATATAATCAGGTAATTTACTATAAATTTTATTTATTCTGTGAGATTTCATGGCTTATAAAAACAGTCAATTCCACTTAAGATGGACTTTGATTATCTTGGAAAAAGAATGTTTTTAATTCACATATGGTCAGTTCCAATTAAGATGCACTTTATCTCAGAAAAAGAATTTTCATTCAAAATAAACTTACAGGTGTCTGTTAACAATTTAAGCTGAACAGAATATTATTTGAGAAACCATTTCTGTGTTCATTCCTCCTGGTTTATGACTTTCCCAAGTTGTTCTTCAGAAAGTTTTACCTTTCATGTTACTCTCTAGTACATGTTTCTTGAAAAAGGGTAAATTCCTTGGAACCTTTTTCTTGGTTGCCCTATTGCACTACAAAGCAGCTTTTAAACCCCTAAGCCTAATCTTATCTAAAATAGATACTTAAAATACAAGATGAAGAAATATGTGTGTACTGAATAAGAAGTTGTCTATTACTGGTGTGAAATTTAGTTGGATTTTATGTAAAACATTTTTATAGCAATAGTTGTCAAATTTTGACTTCATTTGGGCTTAGGGGAAAAGTCAATTTCTAAATGCATGCATATGCTGATTTTGTTCACCCAACATAAAAAAATTATAGTTTATATAGTCCAAAAAGTAGTTTTAATATGTATTAACTTTTCTCATTCTATTTGTCTTGCAACACAATGGAATCACAATAGATCCAACTATTTGCACCGGTGAGTTAAAGTTCCTAAAATTGTCCTAACCTATTGGCAACAAATTAAGTATGTATTTCCCAGTTCTTCATAGAAATGCTCTCTGCTTTTTCCAATAGTGTTAATTTTTGCCTGGCTAAAAATTATTTTTTCATTTAGCACATATCTCTTCGAGAACTTTGCATGTAATGTGATCTGACTTAAGACCAAGGCCTGAACTTTAAGACAAAGCTTTTTTTTGTTTGTTTTTAAAACAACATAATTTTCTTTAATCTCTGTGAAAATATTACTTTCTAGGCGGAATGGGTAGCCTTGAATTATGTACCATTTGCTGAAAGGTCTTTAGAAGTAGTTGTGGATTTATACCAAAAAACAGCCTGTCATAAAGCAGTGGTGAATGAGAAAGTTCTACAGAATATTATTAAGGTATTTTTTTTCATTTCTATACTTTTATGACTATATCACTGAAATTACTCTTTAGGTAATAGCATTATATTGGGATAAATGAAAAATACTTCTTATTGTTTATTTAGTAACATGTCCTCAACATTCATGAATTGTATTTAGCAAGCCATTTTTCTAAACCATGAGGTCTTTTTAATGAAACATTTAAGAACAAGTGTGCAGACTGGCGGTTATAGCTCAGTGGTAAAGTTCTTGCCTAGCTCACATGAGGCCCTGGGTTTAATCCCCAGAACTGCAAAAAAAAAAAATAAAGAAAGAGGAAAAGAAAAAGAAAGAAAAAAAGTGTGCAGTAGATTTGGTAGATTTGTTACAGTTTTTAAATTTTGCCATGTAAGACAATGATAATCCTGTCTCTTAAGACAGTATATATACCTCAACCCTCAATGTTGACTAGTGTTCAGGGAGAAATTGACAATTAGTTTAATGATCATGTAGACTGTTTTTAAAAGTCAGTTCCTTAGTGTGTGAACAATGACTTTTAAAATTTATCTCTTGTTGACTGTGTCTCACTCCTTGTATTTCATCTTTCCCCTTCTATTTTTGTTTTTTTGTTTGTTTGTTTATTTTTTGTGATACTGGGGATTGAACCCCAGGCCTTGAATATGCTAGGCAAACAGGCTACCACTGACACTCCCAACCCTCCCCTCTATTTTGAAGAACAAACCTGACAGATTTCTTCCCTAGCCTGTGGATATACCTTCTGTTTACTAAATAAATACAGGCCAATTTACTTTCTTCCACCAAGAAAGATGGTCTTTCTCTGTTCTTCCTCTTGCTTTTGGCTTCTGCATACCTTTTTTTTTTTTTTTTTTTTTTTTTGTGATTCTTTCATGTTCCTTTCTGCATCTTATACATCCTTCGAAAAATGATTAAGCCTTTTATACTACAAGAACTTTCTCTTGCTCGATGCAGTAGTATGTATGCATGCTGGTAATCCTAGTGGCTCAGGAGGCAGAGGCAGGAAGATCTTGAATTCATAGCCAGCCTCAGCAACTTATTGAGGCCCTAAGCAACTTAATGAGACCCTGTCTCAAAATAAAACATAAAGAGGGCTGGAGATGTGGGTTAGTGGTTAAGCACCTCTGGGTTCAATCCCTAGTACCAAAACAAAACAAAACAAAAACAAAAAAACTTTCTCTTAACTCTACTTCCTTGTTGTGACCAGTACAGGTATTAATTCAGAAATCTAGGGGTAATGGGGATTGAGAAAAGAAAAACACATAGAGAAAGGTGGGACCAGTGGTGGAACACTGTCCTCTGATGGACAAACAGTAACCCAGAGATAAGCTCAGCATGTTTATTATATAAGTTTTATCATTAAAAATTATTTGTGGGCTGGGATTGTGGCTCAGTGGTAGAGCGCTCGCCTAGCACATGCGAGGCCCTGGGTTCAATCCTCAGTACCACATAAAAATGAATTTATAAAATAAAGATATCTAAAAAAAAAAAAAAAAAGGTTATTTGTGGGAAAATTTCTGCAAAGCACACAGACTAAAGGACCCAGCACTGATGAGATATTAGTGTTATCTTGTTGCGCTCAGAATTCTCTATCCTGCCTGGTGCAGTGATGCATACCTGTAATTCCAGCAGCTCGGGAGGTTGAGACAGGAGGATCACAAGTTCAAAGCCAACCTCAGCAACAGTGAGGTGCTAAGCAACTCAGTGAGACCCTGTCTCTAAATAAAATACAAAGAAGGGCTGGGGATGTGACTCAGTGGTCAAGTGCCCCTGAGTTCAATCCCCTGTACCCTGCGCCCCGCACCCAAAAAAAAAATCTCTATCTCTGGGAGCTGGTGCCTGAGCTCAAGGTCCAGACTGATACAACTTCATGCCTTTGCACAGAGCCACTTCAGGTGTCATCATAGCAACTGGGAAATCTTGACTTGTATCTTTGTACAGGAAGTTCCCAGCGCAAATACAGCTGTGATGTAGTCAGAGATCGGGATCCAAGTCACCACTTTCCACACGTCCTACACAAATTGCCATCCTCTTTTTGCTTTCCTTTATTTCCAAATCCCATATGACAGCTTGTGGCCTTCATCTAGCCACCACTTACTCTTACTACATGTTGGCTTATGTCCATATTACTCTATAGAAACTGATTTCTGAAGTGGTAGAAAACCAAATTGTTTTCTTACTCTTTATCTTCTTTATAGAATGGGAATACTTCTGCTCTACCTTCTTAAATTTCTTTTTTCCCCTGAATTTTGTGATACTTCTTTCTATTCCTCAACACATATCTCCCAAAACTCTCCCTTCATTCTTCATTTTTTGAACATATTTTTAAGCATTTCTATGTACCAGGTACTAACTAAATACTGGAGATTATAAAAATGTAGATAAGTTCTTATGTAATAAATGATAGAGTATGCTGAGTGCTAAGTGAAGACCATAGAGTAAAGGTCACTTTTATTCAGGTAGACCTTACTTCAAATAGTGTCTGCTGTTTACTTCTTGCCTTTTGAGTTTGGGCAAATGAATTTATTTGAGAGTGTTTCTTATCTGTGACAGGATAATTGCAATATTACTTATATGTCCTAACTATAGCAAAGAGAATTTGTTGAACATTTAATGATGCTTGTCTTGCCAAATAGTCAATGCTAAATAAAAAAATTATTTCCTACCACAGACAAATAATTGAACCGCTGAGAGGATTTGGGATAGGATTAACAGAAATGACACGTGGAGGAGTGAGAGTTTGCTAAAACAGACAGGGAGGCATTTTAGCTAAATTAAGATGATGGAGTATTTTCAAGAAATCTAGAGAAATTCCGTTTAGAGAGGTCACGGAACCTGGAATAAGTCTGAAAAGGTACCTGCAGGTTTTAAAAATCATCATAATATCAGACTTTATTTTTCAATCATTGAAAGCTCAAACACTGAGGAATGCCATCATATCATCAGCGGTTTGGTTTTTGTTTGCAGTACTAGAGAGTCTTATGCATGCTTAGCAAGTATTTTACAAGCTACATTGCCAACCCTTATTATTTTATTTTGTGGCAGCCTCTCTGAATTGCTCAGGATGGCCTCAAATCATCTGCCTTAGTATCCCAAGTAGCTGGAGTTACACAGTTTGTATTTTTAAAGGAATTAAATGATCCCTTTTCTGTACTCTCAAACACTTTGTTGATACCACTTCTTACTGCATTATATTGTGTTTAATTGGACAAGGCTCTTTTTTTCTTAGAAATTGGACACCTGTGATGTCTGAAACTAAATTTCCCAGTTCAGTATGCATTTACTGAGCATACACCGTTGTACACTTATTGTACACTTACTCCTGTATTATTTCTTTAAACATTCTAAGAAATAAGATGTTCCAGTTGAATAGATCAACTGTGCTTAATATTCAATAAGATATTAATTGCAGAAGTCTATCATAATTTTCTTTTATCTAAATTTGAGTTATGAAATGTTTACTGAAAATGATCTGTGTGGCATTTAGTATTCCTTTGGTTACAAATCACATACAGTCAGGCTCTGATTAGCTTTAGCAATAAAGAGAATTTTCAGTATGCTTAATTAGAAAATTCAAAGATAGAGGACGTTAGGACTGGTTGATCCAGTGGTTTAACAGTATCATTAAAACTCAAATTTCTTTCTCTGTTTTGCTTTCTAAGGGTTGACTATATCCTGTGTTTCTCCACATATCCAGTAAAAGGATTGTGTGTGTGAGCACACAAATACATGTACACACAGTTTTTTACCACATTCTTAAATTATTAAAATTAATGTTAGAAGATGGACCAGCTTTGGTCCCATACACATTTTGTGGGTGGAGGGGATACCAGGAATTGAACCCAGAGGCTCTTAACCACTGAGCCACATCCCCAGCCCTTTTTTACATTTTACTTAGAGATAGGGTCTCACTGAGTTGCTTAGGGCCTCATTAAGTTGCTGAGGCTGGCTTTGAATTCAAAATCCTCCCACCTCAGCCTCCCAAGCTGCTGATTTTACAGATGTGTGCCACCATGCCCAGTCTGTACCCATTCTTGAACCAGTTCACATGGACAGGGAAACGACATGTTTTGATTATCTTATTAACTTAAGCATGTCTTTACCTGAATTCCCAACCTGGAAGTGGAGTTAGCTCCTCAGAAAAGAAATAGGTTTTGTGGAATTACATGCATGGGAAAGCAGTAAATAGATTCTGAGTAGACTAATATCTGTTCTTGGAGGCCTGTTTCATGCAAATAGGAAATGGTTCATACATTAAATTGGGTGGCAGAGGATGACACTAGGTATTATATCCTTGAAATATAAAAATTTATCTCTTAGAATTTTTTATGTAAAAGCTGAATTTTATCTCTAACTCAGATTATCTAAGATGATACCAAATTTTTAGTGATTGAAATTTCTGGGATAATTTGCCATAATAGTTTTGTCAGTCTAGTCTTCTAATTGTTGAAAGAACTATGACCCAAAAAGTTCATTCTCAATCACCAAATTATTTTTACAAAAGCCATTTTTTTGAAAAATTGACCAATTTGTTAAAAAGAGTCTTAACATCTTGGGCACTATACATAACTCAGATGCTCTACTCCTGTACTTTTGATAGTCAAAGATAAGTCATATTAATTGAATTTTCAGTTTCATTAAAATGTTTGGAAAAGAAAGATACATAAAAATATTAGAATGGAATATAAAATTCAAAGAATTTTAGAGATAAAACTTCAAAGTAATGACATTTTAGGTTATGTTTACTCTCCCCTAACCATTAATGGAAAAATATAAGCTATATTAACCTCTTTTGGACGGGGGAGCCACATCAATGAAATTACTTTTCTCTTAGAACAAAAATGGCATGATTTTCTAAATCCATAATGTCGAGTTGAGAAAAAGTGCAAAATTGTAAGTTTCTTACTCTTTAACTTTTTAAATAATATCCCCCTTTTTTATAATGAAAAACTGGAAATCAGGGCGGGGGCTGTGGCTCAGCAGTAGTGTACTTGCCTGGCATGTGTGAGGCACTGGATTCTATTCTCAGCACCACATATAAATAAATAAAATAAAGGTCTATCAACAACTAAAAATATATATATTTTTTAAAACCCTGAAATTCGAAACCTTATTTTTTTTAGAGTTATTGTTTAGAAGATAAAGACAGGATTTCAAAGTACATCTTTTGAATTTGAGGGTGTAGGACTCGGTGGAAGAATATGTGCTTTTAGCACTACAATCCCCAGCATCCAAAATAAATAAATAATATGTTTTTAATAATTAAATAATATTTTTTTTCGGAATTAGGTTTGAAGACCATGTTTGAGACTCTGCCTTTCTAAAAAAATAACATCTTCTCTGAGTGAAAATACCTATGCTATTATTTTTCTCTCTGCTTTAGTATTTTGTTCTTAAGTAATTTAAGTTGTATGTGTGTGTTTTAATTAATACTTATCTTAGACTATCTTTATTTTCAGGCTCTTAGAGTTCCTCTCAGTTTGAAGTATTCCTGCCCTTCTGAAAGCACATGGAAGCTAGCAGTATCTTCACTCCTCAAAGTTCTTTCTATTGGGCTACCTGTTGCCCGACAGCATGCTTCTTCTGGAAAATTTGACAGTATGTGGCCAGAACTAGCCAACACTTTTGAAGACTTTCTTTTTACTAAAAGGTCAGCTCATTTATTTAAAAGATTAAGACAATTTTTCAGAAATTGGCACATGATATATGCAGTTGTTCTAAAACCATGTTGTTTTTCAATAACAAAGTAATTGATTAGTAGATTGTTAGACTATATATAAAACATGGCTGGGTTCGGCATTTATCCACTAAGTACATTATCCATGGTCAGTGGTATTTTTTTGCTTTTTGCAATGTTTTGTAAGACAGGAATCATACATATAAGACCATATGAGTGCAACATAATTAAGGAATTATGATTTTTAACTTAATGAAACTAAGAAGATTGATTTTTTTTTTTTAAATCTGAGCCCCACTTGGTGTTACAAGAGGAAAATTATTTTAGAAAATCAGTGTTTTCTATGTTGATATATTCTTGAATTCTTTAACTGATTTATACATATTAAGCCTCCACGAATAATCATATCTTTTTCCATGATATTCCTCCATTTTTTGATCTGTAAGCTGCTTTGCAAAGTAATCTAATAACAAAAAAAATACAAGTAAAATCAAAATCAACTTGAAGAAAAGAAAGGCTTTGGACTGCATTAAGGGGTGTTATAAGTAAATAATTTAAATAAGAAAAAAGGTAACAGAATTGAAAAACATAGGGACTGTAATCTGGTAGACACTTCAGGTGTATTAGAAATTCATTCAGCCAAACTTTTAATACCAAAACATGGTACTTATTCTAGTGTACACAGTGGGCTATCAGGAAATCATACAATTTATGGTCTGTATATAGTACATTAAAAATCACTAAGTACTAAGTTGGGCACAGTAGCATATGCCTGTAACTCCAGGTACTTGGGTGACTGAGGCAGGGATATTGCTTGAATCTAGGAGTTAGGGCCAGCCTGTACAACACAGCAGAACCATGTGTTTTAAGAAAAATTACTAAGTACTATCCAAAACAGTTGAACACACATATTCATACAAAAATTTGTATGCTAGTATTCATTGCAGCATTATTTATAATAGCCAAAAAAACGAGAACAACCCAAATATCTGTCAGCTGATGAATGGATAAATTAAGTGTGGTTTATTTATACAACAGAATGCTATTCAGCCATAAAAAGGACTGAAATAATAAAATAAAAGGACTGATGCATGCTATTAACATGGATGAACCTTCAAAGTATGCCAGGTGGGAAGAAACCAGACCCAAAACGTCATATATTGTACGTTTCATTTATGTGATGTATCCAGAATAGGCAAATCCATAGAAATAGAAAGTAAATTATTTGTTTCCAGGAGTCAGAGAAGGGAGAAAATGGGGAGTGACTGCTACTGGGTACAGTTGCCTATAGGGTGATAAAAATGTTCTGGATTTTAAATGGTGATAGTTGTACAATTTTATGAATATGCTGAAAATTACTAAATTCTATACTTTAAAAGGATGAATTTGGTTACATGTGACTCCTATCTCAATAAAAAATTTAATATACCATACAGAGAGAATTTGATAAAAAGTACAAATAATACTATATCAGTTTGAAGGTTTTTTTGTTTTTGTTTTGTTTTTTTAATTTTTAGATAAAATCCTAGAAAAGAATTTGTTAAAAATTACTGTACTCTTGGGCTGAGGCTGTAGCTCAGTGGCAGAGCACTTGCCTAGCATGTGTGAGGCACTGGGTTCTATCCTTAGCACCACATAAAAATAAATAAAAACATTCTGTCCATCTACACCTACAAAAAACTTTAAAAAAAAATAACGTACTCTTTAAATGCAGAGAATTTAAGTCTTATATAGGCGATTTTTATCTACAGTATTGTGATTAAGAGGAGTAAAATTTTCAGTTATTAGTTTTGTTTGTACCTCTCCTCTCTTACATTTTATGTGACAACCCAGTCTGGTATTTCTGATACATGATGCAAATAGCATTAATATTATTTGTGTGTGTTCCCAATAAGATGTATGTATATATGGGGTGTGTGTGTGTGTGTGTGTGTGTGTTGGTTGAGGTACTGGGAATTGAACTCAGAACTCCACACATGCTACTCAATCACTGAGCTACATGCCTAGCCCCTTTTCATTTTGCGACAGTGTCTCACTAAGTTGCTGACGCTGCCCTGGAACTTGGAATCCTCCTGCTGCAACCTCCTGAGTAATTTGATCGATTACGGGCATGCTCTTATGTGCAAGGCTTATGTATTTTTTTTATTGGTAACCCATCATTAATTATCTCCACCATTATCAAAGATCTTTTAGTATGACTATAGACATGTACATTCCTTGGTTGTAACTTAGAATTAAACAAATTTTATCTAGAGATACAGATAGGATTTGTGAAGCTGCTTTGCTGGTAGTGGTTATAAAATTCCTGCCATTGGTTTAGGTTTGGGTTCATGTCTTTGTAATTTTTTTCCTCTAGTTCCTACTACTAGATTATAGAGTTAGTTGAGGACTTGTACACTAGAATGTAAGTTCCATAACTGAGTCTGTCTTGTTCACTACTGGATCTTGAACACCAAGAATATAATGCCTGATACAAAGTAGTTGGTACTCAGCAGATATTTGTTGAATGAAAAATGTGGAAATCATGCAACCAAGGTCCACTCCCATATGTCCTAGGTACAGAACTGTAAATACCTCTAAACCCAAGTGTACTATCATTATTGTTATATTACAACATAAAAGAGAACAGTGTAGGCTTAAATATCAGATAAATCAGGTTCAAATTGCAGCCTTGTGTTTGCAGTGTGTTCTTGGGCATGTTATTGACCATTTGAAGCCCCGGTTTTCTGTTGATTAAAGGATAATTATAATACTGCATGGGATTGCTGTGGGAACGTGAGATTAATACAAATAAAGCTCTTATTATAATGTGTAATTTAGCCATCATTATTATTGTAATAATACTATCCTATTCTCAGCAGTTTTTTAAAACAGTGTTATTGTATTTTTTTTTTTTTATATTTATTTTTTAGTTTTCGGCGGACACAACATCTTTGTTTGTATGTGGTGCTGAGGATCGAACCTGGGCCGCACGCATGCCAGGCGAGCGCGCTACCGCTTGAGCCACATCCCCAGCCCCTTATTGTATTTTTTATACCTTTATTTTTATTCGTTTATTTTTATGTGGTGCTGAGGATAGAACCCAGTGCCTCACACATGCTAGGCAAGCACTCTACCGTGGAGCCACAACCCCAGCCCCTTTCAGCAGTTTTAAATAGTTAATATTTCACTGTTTATGTTCATGACCATTTTATTATTCATTCATGTGAGCCAGAGTCTGAAATCCCCATTGGTTCTCTCAGAATTATTTATTTCCTGTTATTGTTGAAATAATTATATGCTTTATAAAATCTGAATTAGCCCTCCTCTTTGCAATTGTTCTCTTTTTTGTATAGAACTTTAATACATTATATTTATTACACATTAATGATTTAATTTGTCTCTGAGTAAATAATTCAGCAGCTTGACCCAGGCTCTCTTAAGTCACTGCCTTAAGTGAATTCAGATACCATTACGATAATTTTTACTGCAGTTGCAGATGAGGCAATATCTTTGCCTTTCTTTCTTTTTCATAGTACTGAAAGAAGTTTAGTGCTACCGGTTTTTAATTTGGAATTGGACCAAAGTGGGTTTTTTTTAGTGTTTCTGTAATTAAAATTTTTTTTTTAAATATCTTTTATTTGTTCTAATTAGTTATCATGAAAGTAGAATGCATTTTGACCCATCATACATAAATGGAGTATAACTTCTCATTTGTCTGGTTGTATATTCTGTAGACTTACACAGGTCATGTAATCATCTATGCACACAGGATAATAATTGGACCAAGTGTTTTTATAGTTAAGAGTTTTTATATTTGTAATTAGCCTAGTTTTTAAAATATTTAACAATGTTAATTAGAAATAGTATTCTTTGACATAAATAACAATGTCCCAACCTGGGTGGAAAGATATAATTTTTTATCATTTGAGTACTGTTTATCTATTTTCTGTTTGTTTTTCCAGGGACTATTTTACTATTAAAAACTTGGTATTTTGTTTATGTTTTTTAGCATACCTCCAGATAATCTCTCTATTCAAGAGTTTCAAAGAAATGAAAGTATTGATGTTGAGGTGAGGAAGCTATTTAAAACATTTTCCTGTGATCATTTGTGAAAACCAAATAGTAGAAATGTTGAAGTTATAAAATTGCTAACAGAATAAGGTAAATAGATTAAGACTGAACCTAAAAGCATTAAAACTCTTACAGATTAAAGGTTGATTTTTAAAGCACTGACATTCTAAAAATAATCCCTTACGATTTCTTATAGTCTTTTGCTATATGCATGTTGTCTGTCCATTTAATAAGTTTATTAAAAAAGCAGGTTGATTCACTAAAATAAATCCATAAGTGAACATGTATGTGTATTTAAATGTTTATTCTGTAATTTGGCATGCCAGGTATCTATACTTCAGATCAGTGACTTTGCTTAGTGTTTTTTCATTTTTAACCAGCTGTACATACAGCTTGCAGAATTATTAAGGCAATAGTTTTTTTAATAATACATTTTGAGGATTATAAATGGAATTTGAAGAAGCAGCATTTTTAGCTATGGATGTTTTGTTGATGGCCTTTTGGGATCTTTTTTCTTTAAGTTAGAGGAACTTTTAAATAAATAAAGTTATTTTAAAATGTACATTTAAAAAGCATAGACATCATCACATATATATAAAACATTGCTTTTTTGACATTACTGTGTTAATACTTATGTGAACTTTTCTTTTTCTTTAGAGGACAAAATAATAAGCTGTATGTTAGAATAAATTATTTGATCAAAATGAAAACAAGTAAATTCTCTTATAGCTCATAGTTTCTCATTGTAAGAAGGTGATTTAAATCTTAATTTGGGATATTTTATTCTAATATGGGTAAGTTTCATATGCTGGCTATTTTCTTTCTATAGCTCTCCTTATAGTTATGCTGAAGATCAACATGAATCCAAATGATGGCATAGTAAATAGTTATAGTATTGACTGTTTTGATAGATGAGGGAAACAGACTAGTTATCAAGTACAGTAAACCCCAAAAATGTTTATATACTAATATTAGGAGGGTTCTTTAACTGATTTCCTTTCAAAATAAATTTTAAAATTTACTCTAGAAGTTATGAGTTAGTCTCTTTCAAGAAGAAAAAATGTATTTGAATTTTTCCTTTTTTTTAGGTAGTTCAGCTTATTAGCACTGAGATACTACCTTATGCCAATTTTATTCCTAAGGAATTTGTTGGTCAGATAATGACTATGCTTAACAAGGGCTCCATACATTCTCAGTCTTCTTCATTTACAGGTATGTTATTTTAATGATTTTTTTTAATTTTTAGGTGTTAGAAAGTATTGAAGAAAGTCATATAAAATGTTTACTCTCTGTAGTAAATATAAATTGGAGACTGGTAGGATAATTTTTAGGAAGGTAATATAGAACATTAAACCTTATGAGGAAAAATGTAAATATTCTGTGGATATAGTTATATTTGTAAAATGATTAATTAAATGACCTAGCATTTATGTAATCTGATACAGACATAGAGGCTGACCACAGTTACCAGTTTTGTGAGGTCATGGATGCCACTTATTATTTTGGTTAACTTCTTTTAACTCTCACTTCTGTAATTTTTAAAATGAAAATATTAATACTAACCTCTCAGAACTATGAATTACAGAATTAGTCCATAGGGGAGGGAAAAACATGATACCTTAAACATTTATTAAGGGAACATTTAATGAATGACTGCTGTATACAAAATACTATTCTAAAATGTTATTCTTCAAAATATTTCTTTGAGGATAGGTACTGTGATATTATAGAAGGGGAAAGGGATTCATTATGGTTGAAAAAATTGCCCACAATCTTAAGGCTGGAGGCCAAGTTCATACTAAAAAGAACTGTATGCTTCTTTCTATCCCATCATTGTACCTTATTTGGGAGGTGATATATAAGTTGGTTTTTGGTATTTTAAAAAAATCTAAACCTCTGCTTAAGTCTTAAATGTAATTGTGGCATCCCAATGTATTTTTTCAGCATGATTATTTAAAAATTGTAAATTTATACAATGTATATTCTTAATCCGCAGAATTTATTGGAGTTGTGACTAGTATTTTGTGCTGAGTACTTTAAAGAACATTTATATATGCAGTCTGACCACTAGATGTCTCTCATACTGCTTACTTTACAAACTTGTTTTTTCCTAGCCCTAACAATTTTAAAAGCTAACCTGGTAACTTGCAGGTTTAACAAACATGAGACTCTCAGAGAAAAAAAAAATTTAAGTCCATTTATAATGTAATCACCTACAATCCCAGCTACTCAGGAGGCTGAGATAGGAGGATTGCAAGTTTGAGGCTAAACTCAGCAATTTAGAGAGGCCCTAAGCAACCTCGTGAGAATCTGTCTCGAAATAAAAAGTAAAATGGGCTGGGGATATAACTCAATGGTAGAGTACCCTTAAGTTCAATCCCTGGTACAAATTAATTAATTAATACATTTATAATATTTTAAATTATATTATAATATAGTTCTATATATATATCTGTATCCAGGCATGGTGGTAACGCATTTGTAATACCAGCTACTCAGGAGACTCAAGCAGGAAGATTGCAAGTTCAAGGCCAACCTGGGCAATGTAGTGAGACCTGTCTCAAAATTAAAAACAAAAGAATGAGGATTTAGCCCAGTAGAGAGTGCTACTGAATTTAATTCCCAGTACCCCGCCCCATACACACAAAAGGTGTGTGTACACACAAACACACACAAACATATAATCTTTAATAAAATGCATTAAGAATTAGGTATAAATATCCTAAGCTAATTGAGGGCTGAGTTACCAAGTATTCTTTTTTTAGCAGTTTCTTATTCATAGTACTAAATGTACCAAGATAAGAAAGCTACATGGACATCCTTCCAGGTATTTTTGCCATAAGACACAAATATCTTCTGAGCTTTAACTTGTATTTTTTTAAAAAAACATATACACACAAAGTCATTCCTTGCTAAACAAGGCCAACCTATAAATAAAGAAGTCACAGTGCTCATATTGGTTCTCCATTCTTAAGTATGACCTGACATCCACAATTCACAGACAGAAAAGAGAAAGACCAAAATAAATGAAAAGGGAAGAAAAGAAACTAGTGAAAGTGGGGAACAATAGCACATGTCTGTAGTCCCAGTAACTCAAATGACTGATACAGGAGGATTACAAGTTCATAGCCAGCAACAGCAACTTAGGAACCCTGTCTCAAAAAATAAAAAGAACTGGGGGATGTAGCATTACACCCCTTGATCTAGCACACACAACCCCACCCCCACCAGGAAAAAAAATAGAAACTGGGAAGAAACAGATAAATGCATAGCCGTAGAAAACATAAGAACACAATAATAATTAGGATGGTTGAAGGGATAAGATTTTTATACTCACGAAACAAAAAATGTTATGAAAAAGGAACAATAAGAACTCAAACACTAAAAATATTGTAGCTGAAATAAATTTAGTGAATGTTGGCAAAAAAAATTAAGGAAATCATCCATAATATAAAGTAAAAACAAAATGAACAACATAAGCAAAAAGAAAGGAAACAAATCCAGGCAGTCAAACATCAGACAGCAGATCTTCCAAAAGGAAAGAACAAAGAAATCTAGGACAGGAAATTGTCAAAGAAATAAACTGAAGAAATAGAGCTACATATTTAAAATGGTCACTTAATACCCCAAATCATGAAGTCAGACAAAAGACCTTCAATAAGGCATGCCATCAAAAATATCAAAATACCTAGGATAAACAAAAGATCCTTAAAGATCTCAGGAAGAAAAAATTCCAAAATAGCATTAGAATTCTTAGTAGCAATACTGGATGCTAAAAACATGAAACAGTGGATGTTTTTAAATTATTATTATTTTTTGGCAGTACTGAGGATTGGTTGGTCCCCTGGCCTCAGGCATGCTAGACAAGCACTCAGTTGAGCTACATACACCCTTAGCCCTTGAAGCAGTGGTTTTAGAATTGTAAATGAAAAGGATTTTTAACATGAAGTTTCTTACCCAGGCACACTTTGGATAAGTATTAATACACAACACTAATTCTCAAATTTTAGCATGTATTATAATGGAGGACAAGCTGTACTTCCAGATTTACTTCTGCAGTATGACCAGAGTAGGAATCACATTTCTCACAAATGCTCTTGTGATGCTGATGTTGTTAGGAACCACACTTTGAGTACCACAGTAAAATGATGACATTTTCCAGAAGTACAAGGTCTCAAAATTTTTTTTTGTCCATTCAATCTTTCTTAGGAAGCTACTATGCTGCATGAGCCAGGCACGGTGGCACCCACTTGTAATCCTAGCAGTTCAGGAGACTGAGGCAGGAGGATTGCAAGTTCAAAGCCAGCCTTAGCAACTTAGTGAGGCCCTAAGCAATTTAGCAAGACTGTCTCAAAATAAAAAATAAAAAGGACTGATGATGTAGTTCAGTGGTAAAGCACCCCTGGACTCAAATCCCCAGTACCACCAAAAATGAACAACCCCACAAACATCCATGAAAACAAAGAAGTAAGCAAAGACAATGATGTGAGATCTAGGAAGTAAGATATAAAAGGAGGAAGGATGAAATTGGTTCCCAGGGTGTTGGCCAAAGACTACTTTTAGATCACCACTAAATAGCATAATTGGAAGACAAAACTAGTCCAGACTGGAAAAAGAAGTCATCTTCCAAAAATGATGTTGCCAAGAGAGGGGAAGAGAGAGTGATTATTGAGTTTGGCCCACAGAAAATTGTTTTATTTAGAAGTATTTTTATAGTGCTGTTGAATGATATAAAAAAACTTAGATAAGAAAAATGGTAAATAGAAGAAGTGACATGGGGTAGATGGTTTGCCTTATTTTTAATCTTGCAAGGGGGAAAACTGTTCATTATATATATATATGTGTGTGTGTGTGTGTATGTATACACACATATATATGTACATGTGTGTGTGTGTGATTAGTTATAGGTTGGTCATAAATACTTTTTCTGAGACTGAGAATTTCTTTACATTTCTAGTTTGGTAGAATTGTTATTGATGTATATTAATTTGACATTTTATTAACCATCAAAAATTGTTAACTTTGCAGAAGCAGAGATTGATATTCGTTTGAGAGAAGAATTTTCTAAAATGTGTTTTGAAACACTGCTCCAGTTTTCCTTCAGTAATAAAGTCACAACACCTCAAGAAGGCTACATCTCACGAATGGCACTCTCAGTGCTTTTAAAAAGGTCTCAGGATGTACTACATCGCTATATAGAGGATGAAAGATTAAGTGGTAAATGCCCTCTTCCAAGGTGTGTTTTTTATTAAAGGAAATGTACTTATGTCATGATTATTAATAAAAAATACCAAAAAACAAAAATAAAAAAGATAACTCTGAAAACCAAGTATTTTCTTAAGTGATTTGAACTAAGGATGTTCATAGTTTTATTTATTCCATACAGTGTAAATATTCATAGATTTTTCTGCAGATAACATTAATGTGTTTTATTATGGGGTGGTTTTTCAGACCCTTTGTGGAGGTTAAGGTACTATGTAAAGTATGTACTAAATTACCTTTTTGAATCTGAAAAAAAATTTGAATTCCTAAATATGTCTTCTACCAAAGATTTCTAGATAGAAAAGTATAAGGACATGATCTTATTTCTCTAAAGTGAAGATAAATTACATTCTAGGAACATGTTTGTTTTATAGTCATTTCTAGGTTTCTCTCTGTATCAACTATTTACATCTTAGATTTTTTTTTTATCTAGTCTGTATATATATAAGCCCATGATCCCAAACTGATCTCCTTCTCATCTATCCCATTTCTGTCAGTAGAAGGGGCTCTAGGCCTTTCTGCTAAGCCAAAGCTAATCAAAATTGGTATACAGACCAGAATTCATCAAAAGATGCAGTCATAAATTAGGGTAGACACGGGCATGGTGGTGCATGCCTGTAATCCCAGAGGCTTGGGAAGCTGAGGCAGGAAATGGATTGCAACTCTATATTTTAGAAAGGAAGGAAATGTTGGATTGCAACTCAGTTTTTTAAATATAAAAATTAGAGCTTAAATCAAAGCGAATGAAGCAGACAGAAAATAATGTGGGAGGACAAAGTTATCAAAGTTAGGAAAGGGTCAAGAAAATCACTGTGACTTCCATCTCATAAATTACTATAGGAGAGGCAAATCACTTACCTTAAATCTTTGTGTACATTCTTATTTACTTATAATAAATTTCAAAAGTTAGAATTGATTTGTCAAAGGATGTAGACATTTTAAAGCTTTTTATATGTATTACTAAATTGCTTACCAGAGGTTTATATTTATGTCTGGAAATTTACATTTTCCAGAAGTGTATGTATGAATATCCTTTCCTCAGTTTTTAGCATTTTAAAATGGTTTACCAGTTTATCATTTATTTCATCTTTTTCTAATTGATCAATGAAAAAGAGCCATATAATAGCTTACCTTTTTATTTAATTACTAATGCTTATTAGCCATTCATAAATCTTCTTTTAGAGCTCAGCATATTTTGAAATTTCTGGAACATAAATTATAAATCTTCACATTTAAATTTAAATGAAAGAACATTGTAAAGACAGGTGTTAGTAATTTAGTTATGGGCATGATTAAAAATTGATAATCAAAATTGATTTCTGAAGTGTATTTAGAAATACAGAAATAAAGTTGCTTTGAGTGGGCTATTTTATTTATTAGATTATAATATATTGATTTCAGAAATCATCTTTTCCTTTATGTTTTTATGTTCTGAGTATTTAACTATTACCTTTAAATTGACCTTATTTATGGATGTCCTGTGGCGTTATATTGTGTCAATCTGTTTGTTGCAGTATTATTAAATTTTCTAAAAAGCTATACACTGCAGCACAATCAAATACTTTCTATGCCTACAAAAATGACTTAAAATAGTACCATGTTTTGGTATTAGGAAAGTCCTATCTATAAAATGAAAACAAACTCATGTCAGGAATAAGTGGGGGCAATGGGGGCTATAAAGCAGAAGAGGTTTATTTCTTTCAGGAGAAAGAAGTGAATCAAGCTATTCTTGTTGGTCCTGTACTCCTAGGTTCATTCTTTGTTGCTAATGTCTCCATATAGTGCTACCTTAGGGTTGATTTCTAGCATGTTTCTTGTTTATTAGAAAAATTGTCATTGCAATTTATCTACCTCCCTCCCTCCCTCTCTCCCTTCCTTCCTTCCTTCCTTCCTTCCTATTGGTACTGAGTATTTAACCCAGGGGCACTTAACTACTTGAGCCACATCCTAGCCCTTTTTTTTTTTTTTTTTTATTTTGAGACAGAGTCTCACTAAGTTGCTTAGGGCCTTGCTAAGTTGCTGAGGCTGGCTTTGACTTTGTGGTCCTTCTGCCACATTCTCCTGAGTCACTAGGATTACCCATATGGCCACTCTGCCTAGCATATCATTGCTATTTTGAATGTGCTTTTAACAGCATGGTAAAATATATGCCAAGTGGTAAGTGTATTCTATTTCCATTTAATTTTTGGCAAATTTCTTATACTAATTAATTAACAACAATGAAAACCTCTTGTAAAGATGTTTTAAAATCACATTATAAAGTATTTTAAGTAGTGCCAGGCATGGTGGCCTACGCCTGTAATCCCAGTGTCTCATGAGGCTGAGGCAGGAAGATCTCAAGTTCAAAGCCAGCCTTAGCAAAAGTGAGGCGCTAAGCACCTCAGTGAGATCCTGTCTCTAAATAGGGCTGGGGATGTGGTTGAGTGCCCCTGAGTTCAATCCCCAGTATCTCTACCTCCAAAATTTAAGTATTTACATGAAATATTTTACAAATAAATTTAGATTTACATGAGTAGTTTGCCCTTTTTAAATTGATAATTTATAGTAAGAATAGCTACTAATCAAATTTGCACACTGAAAAATACATATTTATATGTACTTATTATTTAAATAATGTATGAAATGACTTTTCCTTTTGTAATAATTTTAAATTAACATTAACTTTTAATTACATTGTGTTCAGTATTTTTCTGAAGTACATCTGTGTGTACAGACCTTGAAGACACACAGTATTCACAGTATATTTTAAAATCTTGATGGAAATAATTTCTTATTTCTTTTAGACAACAAGTAACAGAAATCATATTTGTTTTAAAAGCAGTCAGTACTCTCATTGATTCACTTAAGAAAACTCAGCCTGAGAATGGTAAGTGCTTAGAAACTCAGTTATCCTAAAATTCATAGCATTTATGTTCTATTTATGATATACTTTTATGTTAAATTTTAGGACTAGACTTTATTTTCTCCCCTTCTCATGACAACAAAACACTAAGTCCATTAGGTTGTCAACTAAGTTAATTTAATTCATAATGGGTTTTTTTTTTTTTTTTTTGGTCTTTAAAAAAATATAAATTGGTTTGAATTCAGGGTGTTGCATGGACAATTCATATTTCATAAATTTTTAATGTAGAAGATCATTAACGTTGGGGTGATAGGTGAATGGAGGACTTTCATCTTCTATTTTTACTGATTTTATAAATAGAAGCTGTATAAATAACTTAAAGTTATTTTCACAGTGCTTTCTCATTTGTTTTCCTTTCTGATAGTCATTCCTTTCCAGTCCATTCTTTTTTTTTTTTTTTGGTGAACTCAGGAGAACTCAATCATTGAGCCACATCCCAGCCCTGTTTTGTATTTTATTAAGAGACAGGGTCTCATTGAGTTGCTTAGCACCTTGCTTTTTTGTGTGTTCCTATAATAATCCAAGAGTCTATTGACTTTTCATCTGGCTATCTAGGTGGGTTTCAATGTATATAAGTTTGTATTAAATGATGAATGTAAGGTTTCCCAGAAGATGACTGGAATAGACTCTTTAAACTTCCTAGACCAGTGGTTTTTTTGTTTTTGACTTCTGTTAAGTTGCAAAATTCTTTTTACAAATGAAATGTGATATGGATTCCTAACATAAAAACAGATAAAAGCAGAACAGCTCTAGTCTGACTTTCCACACCCTTACCAATACTCTTCCTCTTTTCTTTTTCACACCTCTATCCTGAGAAAGCTTCTTTTGGGGAAAACAGATTTAATGAACAGGTCAGCATTTTCCAAGATGTATACTAATGAGTTACCTTTATGATGAATGATATTTTATTCTTTTTACATTACAGTTGATGGAAATACCTGGGCACAAGTAATTGCCTTATACCCAACTTTAGTAGAATGCATCACCTGCTCATCTTCAGAAGTCTGCTCTGCACTTAAAGAGGCACTGGTACCCTTTAAGGATTTCATGCAACCACCAGCATCCAAAGTTCAAAATGGAGAATCTTGACCAGCTACAATACATTTGAAGGAAGAAAAATATCCTAAAGATTGTTTGCTTCTGAGTCTTCTGTAAGAAGGACATTTCTTACTACAAATGATTCTTGGCAACTGTTGTTTGCCTCCTTTGAATTGTAATTACCTGAATTCAGTAATTCATATTACAAGCTTACACATCAACAAAGGCTCATGAATGAGTAGCAGTGCAAGCCTTTAATAAATTAAACTGATGGAAGGGATCAGTTAATGCTATAACATAGCTGCTACCATATCTTCAGTTGGTGATTTAAAAGTGAGCTTATGTACAGTTTGTGGTGTATGTGTTAATGATGTACTTTTTAAAAAGAAAAGATATTTCAATTCCGTCAGATTTATTAGGCTGGTGTTTTTGCACCCTTTTTCAGGTACAAAATTGTACTAAAATTTTATGCAAGATTGTACTGTAACATTCCATATTATCTACAACCAGCCTTTGTAAACAAAGGGAACTGATATACTTGTGTGTATAATAAATGGTACAGTTCTGTATAAAATAGTTGGATTTATTGTTTAAATTTTAAAAATATTGATAATGTTAAATGCTTGAAGCTCTATTATTAATTCAAAATTATTTGCCCACCTTTTTTAATTTGCCTTCTTATGCAGCAAATAAGTTTACCATGTAAATCATACAGTTAGCTTCTTGTTTATTTTATATGTATTGTTAGTGACCATTAACATCCAACTAGAAAGGTCATGAGATTCTAGATTCACTAGATTCTCTAGATTCACTAGAAAGTTTCATAATCAGCAAATAGTCTATGACCTGCTGATTTTGCAACTTTGAAATATAGGTTATTAACCTAATACATTGAGATAATTATAGCACTATGACTCCATCATACCTCATTTATTTAAATATCTCTCCAAACTTTCACTTAAGTCTGTCTGTTTTTATATTTGCTGTCTTTTAAAGACTTTTCATATTTTATATTTCTACTGATTTTTTTCCTGTGACTAACATTTGTCACTGTCTTTGAATTATTACCCAGACAAGAGTTCAGATTTCCCAAAATTTTGCCTGGGAGATTTTGTTCATTTCAGTGCTTCATTTTGTAATGTTTTCACGAGAAGGAAAATAACTATAGTAACCCACATGTAAAAAATGTGTGTATGTATTTCAAAACAATGACAAGTGTATTTTTGAAAATAGACAAACATTTAGAAGTATAGTAAACTTACTGTCTTGGAGTAAAATGCTAGTTTTTGTTTCACTCTCCTATCCTAGTGAAGAAGAAAAGTGCTCTTGAGTACATTAACTTGTTTCTTTAAAAACTGACCTAGCTCACTGTATTTTTTATTTAATGTATTATGCTATTATAATATTTTTCTTCTGAGTTAAATTTTCATAATCACTTATGTGAAAACATGAAGATGTTTAAAACAAATGATTATTCATAAGAAATAATAATGGTCTTGGTATTATTTTAGTGTACTGGAAGGATTTTTTATTTTAATAGAATTTATGAATTTCAGCCCCTCTAGAATAATCTTAAAACTGCAAGGAGATGTTAGAATTGAGTAATGAAGGGAATGCAATTTGGGAGTCTCTTGTAATTGTTTAATTATTTAATTTGCACTATTATCTGTAAACATGGTAAGGCCTAGTTTTTGAGGGAATGTGTTTATTTATATGAATCAGTGAATTTCTATTTTATTATTTCACCTGATATTAAGGTAAAATATGGCTTTTCATAGATTTTACTTTCAGCATTTTCCTTAAAGTTGTGGGGAAAAAAATTACCCAAACTTAATTTTCTATATTTGAATAGGTTAAGTTGGGAATTTACAAAGTATGAATATCATGATAGAGTATTGAAGTGGAATAACAAGGGTAGTATACCATTTTAGTAACATGTTAAAAATATTGCCATGAACTTACATGAAGTAAAAATGTTTATTTTTGAGAAATAACAGATCAATTGCATTCAGAATGATTGTTCTCCAGGTTAAATATGAATCAAGGGTATACAGCATACATTTATGTAAACTGAATAGTTTGAGCTAATACTGTTTAACTTTCAATACTAGGACCATGCCCTGCTGTTCAGAACACATTAATGTGATGAATGTGTTAATACCATAATCAGTGAAAGTCTTAGTGTCAAGCATGTGAGCTGCCCCCTGGGTAGAATAATTGACAGACCTTTTCCCCCAGCATATCTCCTACAGCTCTCCAGGAGTCACTGATAGCAATTCATGCTCTTGAGCCAAGCTTTCCTCTAGACTGTATTTTTCGAAAATATCCGGACTCCAGGGAGGTTAACACATTGACCTGGCCTTATTAGTGTGAATTGGGTTCTTTAGAAGAACTAGGTTGTATAAAATTGCTCGATGCCAAGAGATTCAAAAAGGAAGCTCCCAAAACTATGTTCATTTTGTTGCACAAGTGAGCCTGTTAACTAGTCCTTGAAATAGTACTAATAATGTTCTCTGGGATACATATTAGAAATACAAAGTATTTAAAGCCTCACATGATCACTTTTTGTCACTGACAAGGCCTATGTTGTAGATTGATGAACAATAGGCAACAATTGGATGATTAATGAGGTTCTTTTCTATTTTGTTCTTTATAAACAAACAGTTTTTAACTAGATTGATTTTCAGTTTCCAACAATGTTAGCACTGCCAAGAAAGAAAAGTCGTTTTGTAGTGTCTTATTTAGGATTTCTTTTTAACTAGTGTTAAAAGTTTTATTAATTTTATTGCATATATTCATGAGTAGCATTTACTAGGAGCCTGTTTGATGCCAAAAGGGGAAAAAATGCTATGAAGTCTGACTTTAAGACTTTATTTTTATTTTTAATTTTATTATATAAATAGCTAACTTCTGTGTTGTTTCTCTCCTATTTTCCTCCCTGTGGTTATTGATTCCAATTTTGCTACATTCTTTAAAGAATGTCAGCAGAAGGAAGAGATGAACAAGTTAGTGATATATTTTATCATGGATGATTAACATTTACTTTAGGTAGCAGGCCAAAAACAACTGTTATATGTTCTTTCTCATATAACCTTGAGTATTTTGTTCATTATCACAATTTGGTACCACTAGTCCCAGGTAAAAAGATCCAAATTAAAAAACTGAGGGTGAGGAAGCATAAATTATTGAACAGAACTAGGAAACAACTGAAAAGTATAGTATGCATTAATGAAGTGGTCATTATTACATTGATGTCAATGAAGGGCAGTGTAGTTATTGTATAATGGCTAATACATCCTCCATATAGAATAATCTAGATGGGTAACTAAATCCTTAAAAAGACTGCTTGCTATATAGGGGGATCTGTCTAGCCAAGGCAGAATACTTTCAGCAATGAACCTACCTTTGATTACTACAGAAATTAACTGGAAATGTAGAAACCCTGGAATGGATCAAAGTCTGGACCCAAAATATTGTGGTCTATAGTATTTTTGTTTTTGTTTTGTTTTTGATAGAAAACTACCAAAAATGTGTACAGAAGTGGTCTCTTTGGAAGCCTTGCTAGCGGCCTAATATGTTCCTTAGATTTCCACTTAGTAGATTTGGCATTTTGGCAGATATGTGTAATGTATTATATTTTACTATGCTTAGTGTTGCTGGATCATATTTATTTACATTATTAGTGAATTTTGCTTTTTTAAAAAAATCACCATTTGTGAGAAGAACAAGAATTCATATCACATGGTGTGTCACCAACTTATATTTAGTGGGTAAATAGTTTTTTAATATTTCATGACCATTTGGATTAAATTTTTTTGTACTTCTGGAAAGTAGAGTGATGCTTTCATTTTGCATGAAAAGTTTTTATAGATTGGAAAAAGAAAAATAATATCATTATGTCTTGAATTGTATGCATACCACTTCAGATGGGGTTAGATAAAATAAATTTCCTATAAATTTAGTAATTCAGAATATACCAGCAGTGTTTTTTTTTTGTTTTTTTTTTTTTTTAAAGACATGCCACGAGTCCTTTGAATCTGAATACACTTAGTAATTTTGGCTAATTGAAGGCAGTGAAGCTGAGATTCTGCCTATTCTTTGACTTTTAGCAGTATATTAATTTCTCAAGATTCTCTTTCTTTTTCTTTTACAGTACTAGCTATTAAACTCAGGGGTTGTACCTGCTAGGCAAGTGCTCTACCACTGAGTAACATTCCCAGACCTTTTCTTTTATTATTTTGAGACAGGGTCTCACTAAGTTCTTAATACAAGCCTTGGACTTGTGATCCTCCTGCCTCAGCCTGTGGAGTTGCTTGGGATTACAGGCATGTACCATTGTGTCTGGCTCTGTTTCTTATTTCTAAAACAGATATTATAGGTTGCTACTTTTTAAAGAAGAAATGAATAATTTGAGTTTGAAATTGATTTCATGCATAATTATTCAGGTCATTTGATAAATGTACCACTATATTCTAACGTTTTTATCATCCCCCTCCTCCCTGGCCCACCATAGGCATCTGTTCTGTTTTTCTTTTCTTTTTTTTTTTTTTTAAATGTATTTACCTTTTCCTCTTACTTTCTTCTGACTTTTCTCTTTTCATTTTTTTATTCTCTGCGTCTTCTCATTCTGTTTTTCCTTTAATTCACCTCTCACTTGATCATAAGTAGCAGAACTATTAATGGTAGAACCACAGTTCACTACCTAATAAGATTTGTAAGTCCTTCACTTTGCCCACTATGCTTAATGTTAAATAGAAGAACTTTAACTTGTTCTTCATTTTGCAAAAAATGAAGTTCCCCTGCCATTTCAAAATAGAAGAACAAGATAAAGTAATTGGTGACTATAGCTTCTACTGTCTTTCTGAATCCACAGGATGCAGCAAGCAAGATGCTCCCAAAATGGGATTCTATAAACATGAGGGATGCAACTGCTAAATTTGGAAACAATCATGTCTTTGCTGTGATGTGAATATAGAGAGATGATGCCACTTTTCTCAAGGAGGAATATTTAAAATCAATTTACTTGAGGGTTTTTTGTGTGACTGTGTTTTGTTTTTTTTTTCTTTTGGAGGAAGGTTGTTTTGTTTTTTAAAGATAGGTGCTTTGAACTGTTTTAGATTTATGTTGTCCAAATATTACTTATTGATAATATTTGCACTGTCTACTTTGAGGAAGGATTTGAGGAAGCCTATTGTCCTTATATTTCATCCATTTGTTTTTCTGTTGCAAAGTAGTAATTTTGTGGAACACCTAGGACACCTAGTTCTTATCTCTGAATCTTTCTATACTATCCATATGCTTGTTGCTTATGGTTATGCAGAGGTCAATTAAAACATTCCCAATTATGCTATGGGATTGATTCTAGTCCATCAAGTAAGAAAAAGGAAACTATTGAGTTTTGAGAACATTTTTAGTTGCTGCAAATGATGTTACCTTAAGTTATATTTTAGACTAAAAGTCAATGAATAGAGCAGCCAAGAAAGATCTCCTAAACCATGCCTTTATTTGGAAAACAATTGCAATATATTAACAAGTACTTTTCTGTATGAAGCTTTACTAGATGGAGAAAAATTCCAAAGCTACAATATTTCAGGCTTATTCTTTTTATCTAAATAAATAAATAAAATATTAAGCTTTAGCCCCAACTATGCAAATTTTGTTTGCTTTCCCGCTTTTACTACCTCTGTCACAATTTTAACACCTAGCATACAACCCCCATCTCTTAAGGCAGTTACCATATGGTGTTTATGTCAGACGATATATTTATCTAATTTTGTAAGATTCTGTTTCAGTTCCCAACACAGTTCTTAAAAGTAATGCCACTGTTGTACTTTTTCCTGATAATTTTTACATTGTTGATGTGTATCAGGCTACATATTATAATCATGAAAGTCTTTGAGCTTCAAACTGAAATGTTCTTTGTAGTCAAGGATATATTTTTCAAAAAGCTACATTGTCATAATGGTAATTGTATATATAGATCCTGAATTTCTTTTACAGTTATTAGCATGATTCTAGGTTTTTATTTATGTGCCAGCAGAACTAGTTTTCTCATTATAATATAAAATCATAATTTTTTTGATAGTGTACCTTCAGATTTGATCATTGATTCATTTTTCTTTACTATCTTTTGTTTGCTTTCTCATCCCCATTAATTCTAGACATTATTGACACCCCACATTATTTGACTGTTTAAAGACAATAGTAATTCAGGTGTTGCACATCTGTAATCCCAGTTACTTAGGTGGCTAAGGCAGGAGGATCACAAGTTGCAAGGCTAATTCAGTCAATTCAGGAAGACTGTTTTAAAATAAACATTGTTAAAAAAAAAAAAAAAAAAGCTGGTATTCAACTCTTTGAGTTTAGTGGTGGAGTGTCCCTAGTCCGTCCTTGATGTACTGAGAAAAAGGGTGGTGGTGGGGACTTTATAAACCAAGTCTGGAGCCAGACTGGTTAACTTCAAATCACAGCTCTTTTATTTACCAGATATATGACCTGAACAATTTAATTAACTTGTTTTGGTTTTCTCATTTATGAAACAGAGTTAACAGTGATATTAACTATTGTTTATTGGAATATAAAGAGTGTTATAAAGCATTGGGCCTGGCACATGGTAAGTTTTAAGTAGTAAGAAACATTTGGCACACATAATTCAAGAAATATGCAAAAAAACCCATAACTTCTCATGCCATAATAGGAACTAATTATTCCTTTTACTGGACAACCACCAACTATTAAGAATCTACTGTGTGTTCTTTATTGTGTCCTTGTTGATATGTGACAAAGTCATTAGAGGATCTTAGGTGCTGCTCATAGCTAGTTGGGGGAACCACGTGCCTAAAATAATAAGAAATACAAGAGTATACCAAGAATAGATTTGTCATTAACATTTTAGCTCTGATTTTGTGTTAAGTATTGAGTTATTAGTCTCTTCCCTTATGGAGGTCACACTATAAACATGAGGGATGCAACTGCTAAATTTGGAAACGATCAAATTTAACAAATGTTAAATGACCTTTAACAAATGTCCAAAGTACAAAGAAAGACAAGCTTAGATTAATATGGGATCATAAAATAAGGAAACTTAGCCTAGTCATCTGTGGTTCAGGTTATTATTGCTATTAGTATTCAACAGAAAAATCAATAAAGAAATGAAAGAGATGGGCATGGCAAAGACTTCAGGAGGCTGAGGCAGGAGGATCTCTAGTTCAAGGCCAACTTCAGCAACTTGAGCCCTAAGCAGCTTAGCAAGAACTTGTCCCCCCACCAAAAGAAAAAAAAGAAAAGAGGGCTGGGGGTGTAGCTTAATGGTGAAGTGCCTCTGGGTTTAGTTCCCAGTATCAAAAAGAAAAAATAGAAGAAAGAAAGAATCAGTGGTGGAGACAGAACTTAAAATGAACCTTAGAAGCTCAGGCTTTCCAGTGAGTCTAAAGGATATTGGAGGGTATTTTGGCAAGTAAAAGTGAGAAGGCACATCTGAAATAAGAGGAAACTGATAATGCATTTTGGTTTGTAAAACAAGTCGGCTGTGAGAGATTGAGGCTCAATCATGAAATTCCTTGAAAGCTAAGCAGAATACTGTGTGGCAAGGTTTGGTATTTTTAAGAATAAATAATGAAACTAAGGAAGAAAAAAAAAAAGTTATAAGCAGGATAGAGTATAGGAAATATGGAGGAGAGAAATCTAAGGTGTTCCAATTTTCCTGCTGAGGTGATGATAAAGATTAGCTGAAGGTGGTCACATGCAAAGAATGCTTAGACTCCCACATATTATAGGTGGAGAGAGTTGATGATGATAGCACACTGTGGATGAGTATACTGATGTCAGCACTGTAAAAACAGGTTAATTGTGGAATATGGTAGGGTAATAGCTTGATTAAATTTGGTTGGAGACTTTATTGCTCTAGCAAATCTGTATACCTTAGACCAAACAACTGTTTAATGGCCACTTAAAATGCTATGCCATTATGACAAATGAATTTGCTATGGTGCAAGATAATGTGATCCACTATACAATGAATTAGCAGTAAGAGTGGGGTCACAGCAGCTGTATCATTGCTTATCAAGCAGGGTGGTGTGAATTTTCTACACTTTCTAGAAAGGATCATTGTGATAAATAGTTGCATTTATGCTTTGTCAAGTAAAGCATTTAATTCCAAGTGTATATATACATGGACACCTAAACAAATACATAAATATTTTTAATTGGAAATAGTTCGGGCAAAAGTGCTTCAGCAGTTGCTTTAAAATTAGCATAACATTGGGATCTAACAGTGGACATATCCATATATATTTTATTTTCTGAGTATGCACATATAAATATGAAGCCCATCTGGGTTTTGGTCCTGAAAATGGTTTTTGTCCCATCACATAAAGCATATAGAACAAAAGTGGGAGGCAGGCGGTATTTAATTTGCAGTGAGATTCTTGGCCTCACTCTTCTCCAAAATTAAGATTTTTTTTTTTAATTTTAAAGAATTACATTTGTTTTGTATGCATTTTTGCCCAATTTTGCTGTGAATCCTCCAGATGCTGTGAAAGGATCAAAATATGGACAAAGTCCCAAAGTGTTATCTGAACACACACTTTATTTCTCTCCATTCCATGATTTTGCTAGCCTGAATTTCCAGGAGCTTCATGACTACATTAAGTTAAAAGTGAACGCCTAACTGGTTATGGTGGCATAAGCCTATAACTCTAGCTACTTAGGAAGCAGAGACAGGAGGATCTCACTTTGGAGGCCAGCCTCAGCAATTTAGCAAGGCCCTAGCTCAGTGGTAAAGCGCCCCTGGGTTCAACCCGAAATATCAGGGGAAAAAAACAAGATGTCG